GCTTTGGACTACAAACTGCTCAGGACAATTTCAAGATGACTAGCTGAGATGATACAGTCTCACAGACTACTCTAGTCAGGACTTGAGACAAGCCCTACACTTTCCCATTATGCAGAGACTGGACAACAAATGATACAGATACCTCTCCCAGGAATTGACAATTAACTCCAAATTTTCTTTTCAGATTCCTCTAAAGGTGCCTTTACCCCCAGACAGCAGGAAATAAATTTAAGAACATGACACCCACATTCCCAAGAGGTGGGGTGGGTAGTTTTTGGTTGTTTAAAGGGTTATGGATAATTGCCACTGTTTAGGATGGTTGGTTACAAGTTGTATTGGTAATGGTCAGGAAAAAAAGTGAACAAAGGAGATTAGATTTAGGGTTCTTGTTTGAAAAAGAAAAGAAAAGAGAAAAAAATATAGAAATGATAGAATAAAAGGGTTGATTACTTAATCTACTCTGAAAAGAAAAAATGGGAATATAGACATAAGATAAAATGTAGATTATTGCATCTACTTTTAAAAGGCAACTACTAGTTTTAAATATTTTACATTAGATTAGAATTTTGTATATTGTATATATATTATGTATATTGATACAAATTTTAGATTATTTTTGTTGGAACATACAGTACATATATTTCTACTCTTGTTCAGGTATTATACCTATACAGCTCATTTAACAATGTAGTGCAATTTTCTAGTCCTTGAAAGTTATTATTACCAACTATTTAGGATAATAAAAAATGCAGGTTAGCAGTTAGTTATTATAATTGAACTTGTAGTCGGGTTAGGTATGTTTTCAAGGTCAAACAGATATATATTTTAGATAGACAGATGGTCTTCAAACATTTCAGAGATCTGCAGAATATGGCATTTAAGATATTTTAATAATTTAGATTTTTTAAAATGACATATCTGCTCCTGGCAGCACCAATCTACTTCAGAGAAGATGATGGGCATCAAAGAAACTTCTTATGGAGTTTACTTTCTTTGTGGCAAAAGTTAGCCACTGGGCAAGAAAGTGCCCTTGCCTGGATTGCTGGTAATATGCTGTCCAAATGGACAAGCAGGACACAAAAGAAAGGGCTGCTGAATCTTGCCAACACAAAGTAGGACAGCCCTTCAGAAAATCCTGCTTCACAGATGAGTCTGTTGGATATGCTAGTCCTGTAGGTTGATGATGGATGCCCCAACATTGCAGAGGAACCTTGGGTGACTGTCCAGGTAGCTGGCTGTTTCTGTCATTTCTCACATTTTTTGGAAGTCAATTGTTTGTGTTTCCTGTTTACTCAGATAATACTGTTTCCTTTTTGGGTCTCTGATGGAGTTGAAGACTAGATAGTTATAGTTATAGTTTTCCTTGTTAAAAAATTCAGAAAAGAAACTCACTAAAGAGGTGTAAACTGTATAAGTTTGAAAGACATCAAAAGATAGTTTTGGGTTGGTAATACAAGTTAGGACAGAAAGTGAATTAGGTACACCATTTTGGACTCAACAAAATAGGATAAATAATGGAGTATTTTCTATGATTTTGTCAAATGTTTATGGACTGGACATTATTAATGAAATTCTTGACTGTATATATTATATATGGTTATTGTACTTATTGTATATAGTTTTTCATATATTAGTTATAACCTTCTTTTACTATTTTAGACAAAAAAGGGGAAATGTGGTGCCTAATGATCAGAGGACAGAGTCAGCCACAGAGTTAGCCATAGAGGTCAGACAGTAGTGGCACACACCTTTAATCCTAGCACTCAGGAGGCAGAGGCAGAGATCCATCTGGATTTCTGTGAGTTCAAGGCCACACTGGCCTACATGAGATTAATTCAGTCTAAAAGAGAAACAGAGCCAGGCAGTGGTAACACACACCTTTAATTTCAGCACTTGGGATCACACACCTTTAATCCCAGCACTGGGAAGGTTGAGACAGGAAGTGATATGGCTGGGCAGAGAAAGGATCATAAGGCAGAAGGAGACAGGAATTCTTTTTCAGGCTGAGGAGTTGGTGAGGTAAGAGATGGTTGTGGCTTTCTCTGCTTCTCTGACCTTTCAGCTATCACCCTGATATCTGGCTCCAGGTTTTTATTAAGAACATTTAGGATTCGTGCAACAGGGTGTATCTCTGGGGATTGTCTTAATTGTCACTTGGCTCAGTCCACTGTGGGTGTCACTAATCCCCGGGTAGGGGGTCCTGGGTTATATAAGAATGGAGGAGACTGGCTGAGAGCAAGCAGGCGGCTTGAGCACATTCGTCTCTCTCTGCTCTTAACGGTGGGTGTGATGTTTTAAGCTCTCATCTTGGCTTCCTCTTAGTAACGGGCTGCAACCTGGAATTGTGTGACACATAACTGTCGCTTTCCCTCTAAGCTGCTTTCTGTCAGGATATTTGATTCCAGCACAGAAATGAGACTAGGACACGCCCTTTACACCTAGAGGAGTGGCTGGATTGGAGCTGAGGCTGTCAGTCACTGTGTGGCCAAAGGCCAGTAGCCAGTCAGAGGAGTACCTGGGAGGGCACTCTGTGCGGAGGCCTGGGAGTAACCCGCATAGCTGTGCTGGGGCTCTGCACATGCCTCCAGCCTTCCTACCCCTCACTGTCCTCCCTGTTGGCTTAGGCAGAGATGATCATTACCCTTTTGCAGCCGCTGAGGCCAAGGCTCAACTGCCTGCCGGTTGCCCAGGGACCTGTGAGCTGGTGCATGGCAAAGCTTATCCGGGGACCTTGTTGGTCTCACCTCTCCTCCCATTCTGAGGGGTGAGAAGCCGTGGGGAGGGAGGCACAGGTACCTCTTCCAGCTGCAGCTGTCCTTGGCCAGGTCATAGTCAGCTTCACAACCCTCCTCCTTAATGGTGTCAAACACGGCCATGGTGCCTAAAACACCTGCCACACCACTCATCAGGCAGGCATCTTGTCCTCACATGCTCCCCAAAAGGGCGAATACAGAACATATTTAGAGAGAGGCCACATTCATGTAACCCATATTATATTATCTCATAATCTATTCTATTATTTTTGTTAATTCTTTTTCCAAAAGGCTTATTTTTATTATTTTTAATGATGTGTGTATGTGTGGGAGGGGCAGGTACATACGAGTATAGTGCCCACAGAGGCTAGAAGAGGAGATCAGAACTTCTGGAGCTAGAGACACAGGGCTTTTGAGCCACTCAGTGTGGGTGCTGGGAGCTGAACTCCGGTCCTCTGCTCTTAACCGCTGAGCCATCTCTCTAGAGTACTATTCGTTCATCCCTTATGTCAAATTTATAAATTAAACTTTGTCATGGAGTGCATTTGTAAAAAAAAATTATACATAAGGCATATATACAACACACACACACACACACACACACACGCACACGCACACGCACACACACATACACACACACACACACACACACACACACACACACACACACGTATGTGCCCTTTGGCACTTCCCCTGGTTTCGGACACCAAGCCTCCTGCTGGCATGGTTTCGGGTTGGCCTGGGTTCCTTCAGAAAATGTCTAGGAGAAGCAGAGGTAAGGCCCGGGTGGGAGGTGATATTGGCTCTGTCTGGGAGGTTTAAGATTTCAAAGAAGGAGAAATACTTTAGATGTCTCTAAAACACGTTCCTAAACCTGGCTACTCATTAAAATCACCCAGAAAGGCAAAACCGCAGAACCATTCCCAGGCCCCTCTTCAGGCCTGCGGAACGTTTGGCAACAGGAATCCCAGCTTCTACTTGTGTCTTTCCCAGGAGCTTCCAGGGCTGGAGTGGAGACTCTCGAGGGCTTGTGCGCCAGGCCTGGGACCAGGCAGTGCACTACAGGTTGCTCCGAGGCCTTCTGAATGCAAGGCTAAGCGCCTGCCAGCTACTCCAGGCAGGCAGAGCCACTGTGATGGGCCCTGAGCTTGTTTACCGTGTGCTTACAGTGATGACTTCTTTGTCAAAACACACTCCGGGGAGCCGCCGCCCCCGGGCCTCTGTGTCATCTCTCTTTTATTGGAACAGGAAAAAGGCCTGCATTATTGTTCTCTGGATCCTGGTTTTCTCAGGGATCAAGAAAGCAACAAGCACTTTGTGCTAACAGCAAAGCCGGCTTTGTTGTCTGAGGCCAGGGAGGCGAGGCTGCTAGGAGAAAGCCTTTCACAGACCATAAAAGAGACGCTCCATACACAGCAGGCTGGAGAGACGCTCCATACACAGCAGGCTGGAGAGACGCTCCATACACAGCAGGCTGGAGGCAGAGGACCGGGAAGCGCCTGAAAACCATCCTTGGCGCTTCTCTGCCAGCTCGGTCAAGGTTCTGCATGTTTCTGTGTGAAAGCCATCTTGGGGTGGCGGCATGGTTCAGTTAGCAAAGTGCTTTCCACACTACAAGTACGAGGCAGTCCCCAGAGTTCATGTTACAAAGCTGGCTGTGGCTTGTGACCCTGGGCCTGGTGGGCAGCCAGCTTGGTGTGCTCAAAGCCCTCCAGGCTAATGAGAGAATGTAGATGGTTTATGAACCTCTGGCCTATACATGCATATGAACAGACAGGCAGACAGACAGACAGATTATATATATATTAGACAGGTCTCATTGTGTAGCCTTAAACTCACTATGTAGACCAGGTTGGCCTGGAACTCACAGAGGTCCTCTTGCCTCTGCCTCCTGAGTACTGAGAATAATGACACCTGGCCAATGTAATTTTTTAAGCAATATTTTCATTAATCCTTGAGAATTTCACACAAAGCCGTTTTGGCAGGCATGTGCCAGGGCCATTTCTAGGGGGCCAGTTTTGGGAAGCGATGTGTCTGAGAAGTGGAAGTGAGGCGGTCTCATTGTCGTGTGCCTTCAGGCGGGCATTAAGACAGTGAGCAGTGTGCCCTCTTGCATGCCTCCTGCTCTTCTCATGGCCCACAAGTGGGCACGGCGGCTGCCGCCATCCTGGTGTAGGCAGGTGAGCAAGGCTCAGAGAGGGAGTTCTTGCCTCAGCCTTCTGGAGTACGTGTTCCTGGCTCTTTCCCATGACGTCAGAAATCATCTGGTGTGTAAGTTCCTGCCTGTGGAGGCAATCATGAGCCTGAAAAAGCCTAAAAAGTGGAATTTTTCCCCCCGCCCCCCCCCCCCCCCTCCCTCCTTTCCTCTCCTTTCTCCTCCCTTCCCCTCCTCCCCTTTTCCTCTCTTCCCTCCCTCTCCCTCCCCCTTTCTTTCTTCTCTCCTCCCTCCTTCTTTACTTTCAAACTCAGTCTTGCTACATAGCCCAGGTTAGCCCGGCACTTGCTGTATAGGCCAGAGTGGTCTTGAACTCACACCAATCCTCCTGCCTCAGTTTCTAGAGTCCTGGCATTGCAGGCATGTGTTCCCATGCCCAGTTGCATGTAGACTTTCCTTCAGGTGAAGCACAGGAGTATAGAATTCTCTGTGTACTCCACATGTGTATCTATGTCTCTGTATGTATAATTAATGAGATATTTATTTATTGTTACTATGTGTATGTTCTAAATGTGAGAGTGTAGGTGCCTTCTATCAACTGAGCCATCTCTCCAGTCCCAGTCAATGCTCTCACTTTTGACAGACTAATTTTGAGGACTGTGAACATCACTTAAAGTGGCAGAGTGGGGTCCTGACTCCCCAGGCCTGGGACAGAGACAGACAACATTCTAATCAGTCTCTAAACATCTAAAAAGGTGAAGCTGCAGCTGTAGTAGGGACTCTCACCATGAGAACCACAGCATGTAGAGATCCCTGTGTGCTCAGCCTCTCTCTATATACACTTATTTAAAATATTTGTTTATTAGTGTTGTATGGCACGTGAATGTGCACATACAAGCCACAGTGTACATTTGGAGCTAAAGCATAACTTTATGGGGTCAGTCTTCTCCATCTACCTTTATGTGTATCTCAGGGACTGAACTCAGGTCAGGTTTTCACGGCAAGCACCTTTACACACTGAGCCATCTTGTTGGCCTCTAGATATTAGTTTTATGCTCATGTCCTACATTAGATCCTCCATGAGAGGCAGCCATTATTCTTTTTTGATGGCTGCATAGAATTCCAGTAACTGTTAGAACCAGGTATGGTACTACGTATCTACAATTCCAGTGTTCACGAGAGGCAGGAGGATCATGACTTTGAGGCCACCTTGGGCTACATATCGAGTTCTAGGCTAGCCTGGGCTGTGTTACAAGATTATTTCTCAAAAACAAACAAGCAAACAGCAAAGCAAATAAGATAAAAACAAAACAAGGCTGGAACAATAGCAAAAGCCCACATCATTTAACCCTCTCTGATGTGGAACAGAGATCGTTTCCACTTTCTTCACAGCAATCTTGTGCATCCTTCCTGTACTTACGCTATTACTTCTGCTTTTAAAATACTTTTCTTTAATTTTTCTTCTGTGTGCATGAGTGTGTGACTGCATGTATGTCTGTGTACCAAGTGCATGCCTGGTGCCCTCAGAGGACAAAAGAGGGCATCAGATCCTCTGGAATTGAAGTTACAGATGGTTGTGAACTACCATGTGGGTGCTGGGAACTGAACCTGGGTCCTCTGTAAGAGCCGTAAGTGCTCCTAACCACTGAGCCATCTCTCCAGTCCCCCAGTACTTCTAAGGGGCAAACTGAGCAGTGGAATAGATGGGTCATAGTAGGCGAGCATCTTGATCTCAACTAAAAGGCTGAGAAGCATATATGAGCATCTTAAAATCACACAGAACTGTCATGCTAAGCCTCTTCCCATCAGGTTCATTCCCAGGTTCTGCCAATGGAGATTGGGAATCCGTACCAACACTGACCATTGAGACTCTTTCCTCTCTGAACCCGACAGGTAAGGGTACTTTCCGGTTTGTATTTGCATGGCATCATCGTGAAGCTTTACCATGGACTCATTATACCTCTCCTTTCTGAGCTGCGTGTGTGTGTGTGTGTGTGTGTGTGTGTGTGTGTGTGTGTGTGTGTGTGTGTGTGTATCCTGTGCTTGCTGGAGAACAGAAGGCCCGAGTGGCAGAAAAAAAATAAATACATGGCAATTATTTTTTCTACATTGTTGGGCATGGCTTGGGTTCTGGGTACCCACTGAAGCAATCTGGAGAAGCCACATAAAGGAAGAAAAACTGCTGGCTCTAGGAAAACAAAAGGAATCAAGATTGGTTAGGGGACAGAACCGGGGGAGGTAGGGAAGCCCAAGGTTCTGAACACCAAGAGTCTGTTTGTTTCTGAATTTACAGCAGATGCCCAGGCTGGGCAATTCACAACTGCAGAAGTGTAAGGCTCAGAGTTGTGCAGGCTGGGAAGTTCCTGGATCTAAGTACTGTCAGGTTCGGTGTGGGGGAGGGGCTGGCCTGTGCTTCCAAGATGGTGGCTGCATTCTGCCTCCTGAGGCAGAAGAGGAAGAAGACAGGGAGGAGAGAGGGGGAAAAGGAGTGAGAGAGAGATAGAGATAGAGATAGAGATAGAGATAGAGATAGAGATAGAGATAGAGATAGAGATAGAGATAGAGATAGATAGATAGATAGATAGATAGATAGATAGATAGATAGATAGATAGATAGATAGAGAGAGAGAGAGAACCCACATACCAGAGTGGTTTAGAACAAGGATAGTACATCCTGGAGTGGGCATCTGGATGCAGGCTTCTCATAGGGGTGCAGCACACATGTGTCTCAGACACATTGCTCAAAGGATGTGATTTACAAAAACATTTAAAGACTAAGCAAAGTTAAAAAATTAAGTGAAATATACAAGTGGATTTACTTATTTACCTAATTCTCTCTTGCAAATGAAATTGTAAGGCAGGTTGGTGAGGTGCAGTGCTTAGATCTAAGGGTGGGAGAGGATGGTTCAGAGTGAAACTCAGCATCAAAAGAATTATGGTCCTGAGCAAGCTCAGTTTTAATGTATGC